TCTTCCTCTTCTTCTTCTCTGTAGTTCTTGAACTGTAAAGTCCGGTAGAATGTTTCGAATCCATTTTAAAGAGGAATTATTTCTATAAAATACTTTTTTCTTAAATAAAATATAATTATTCTTCATGAGAAATTTTTTCGCCTATGTGACCTTTCACACAAAAGTTGCCCCAATTTATTGTACGGTTAGCATCACCAATTAATTCTTTAGTATGGTGCAAATCTACTTTATGCATGTTGTCATGATCATCATGTAAAATAGGTTGCTGGAAGAGAATGAGAGGAGAGTGATAGTTAAATTGGGAGTTGAATACAAGAGTTGTATGAAAATGTATGTTGGCCATTTTGAACAAATAAGTTGTTTACTTTGGTTGTGAATAATTAATTCATGATTGGGCACTAATACAGAGCAGCTATACAAATATAAGTTTATTAAATATTATAATTTCAAATTTTGACTTTATGATAAATTTTAATATGACACAAAATCCATATAAAGTGTTTTACTGCGCTTTCGGAGTAATCCATTAATTTCAGCGCGGGAGTAATCCTTCATTAACAGTATGCCATGTACGTTACGTCTCGTCGCAATCAGTTGTCTAGAGGACCACCGAGTAACATCGCGTACGCGCCCCTGCGTTACTACTTAGCGGCCAGAATTGAGAAGGAATTAGGATTGGGGTAGGATTTAGGACACTTCACAGGGCGGGACTAGCCCCTGTGAAGCACGCAAACTCGTTTTGTCATAACAAATTTCACATTAAGGGTCTACAGGAATCCTACGGGAATCGAACCCGGAACGTGAAGAGTCGAGAGCATCGTGTTGCTTATACTTAAGGGGGTTCAAGAGCACGCCGGATATGCATTACGGAGGGGGTTGGGAGGAATTATTCAAAATACTCCAAATTTGCGTTACATAATTTATGGGCGATCTTTAGAATCATGAGAATACCACAGCCCCAAAACACATTTGCCGTCGGTCGTCAAAAGAATGCGAAACATTTCGACCTGTTTCACACCTATACACACCCAATCGGAATTAGCAGGAATAAGAGACACAATAACGCATGTCTACAAAAATATTTTTGTCACCTTTTTTATATCCAATAACTGATGTTACATATTTAAAGTGCAAAGATTACAGAAATGATTTCCATTTTCCCATATCACATCAGGTTAAAATAAAAACTATATTTAAAAATCTTTATAATATCTGTAAGTTGAAAATATGAAAACTTGATGAACACAAAATTAAGAACTGTGATACAATTTACCTTATATTATTTTTGAAAAACTGTTAAGAAAATGAGAATTCAACATTCACTTAAGGCCATTACTTGACTGTTACTGTGACTCTTAACTGTTAAAATCACGGTTTTCACGCGTATGAGCAATCATTAGAACCGTCGCCGTCTAGACAAAAAGCTTCTTGTCCCTCTTGTTCTCATGTGTACTTTAGTAGGATCATCTGTTGCAGTAACCAATAATCAATGATGTATTCCATCATCCTTGGTAGCACCTTTCAATGTCTTCAATATATTGGTGAAACCTCTTATCCTGTTCTTCACTCACTGCTCCCTGGTTTCCTGGAAAGCAGTCTAAATGAGAGTGAATGAAGTGCACTTTCAGACACATGTTACATTCCAAGGATTCATATTTTTTCAGCATATTTTTTACATTATACTCATAGTTTGGATCTTTATAATTTCCCAAGAACGCATGAACTACTTCTTTGAAGCCAATCCAAGCTTCTCTTTCCGGAGGTGTCATATGTGCTACAAAATGATCATCGAGTTCTCTAATTTGCGGCCCTGCAAAGATACTTCTCTGACTTTTCATGAGAGAGTGGGAAGTTCGTTGGTTAGGTACTTAAAACAACTTCCATTCTTATCTAGTGCCTTAGTAAATTGCTTCATTAATACCAATTTAATGCGTAAGGCAGGTAACTGAATTTTGTCAGGATCTACTGAACTGTTCGTATAATGTTCTTGGAACCTGAAATCAGGGTGTTTCTTCTAAGCTATTCTCGTGTTGTTTAATGATTCTTTCTATCTTAGCTGCCCCTTTCACAAATGTGACATGGTTAATTGGTGTAACCCTGTTGTTATCCTAACAACATGTACAAAACCTTAAAATCATCGCATATCATTTATATTCCTTATAATTTATCTTTTCGAGTAGCAATTTAAGGTTGTCATACGTCTCATTAAAGTGATGGAATGTGCGACGTGTACAGAAACTTTCTTGGCTATCCAGGATGAGGCGCGGTTCATCCCGGATAGCCAAGAATGTATTGACTTCGCCCGCGGAAGCCTACGAACGACTAGCACAGGTGCTTAAGTGTTAGCAATGTGTAGCAATACACCTTTTAAACTTATTTTGCTTGAATTGAGTGCAATATATTAAGGAGCTTTCCTGATTAAAACACCGTACTAAAGTCTTTCTCTCTATTTCTGTAAACGGTAACATACGTTCCTGGAGTTAGAACATTGTTTTCTTTCAGACGTGCAGCTAAAACGTCAAAGCACCCTTTAAGAGATTTAAATCTCCGACCAAATCGATCAGTTCTGTTTGTATTAAAGGTTTGGGTTTGTGTACGGTGCTTGTCCTATCAGATTCTTCAGCTGACTCGCCTGGCGTTGGACTTGAATCAGAGTGCAATAATAATAATAATAATAATAATAATAATAATAATAATAATGTCACAAATACAGCATACGACTGTATGACATGTCAGGATACATAGTACTTCGAGGTCTTCTTTACACGGTTATAGCATAAGAAATATTTAAACAAAAGAACTAGTTCTTCCAAACATTATGCTTAAGATGTATTCGAATATCTTAGTCAATACTGGTTGATTTAGCTTTTGTAATGTGTGTGCTATTATAAGCTAGGAGCTATGAATACATGTTTTCATAGGTCTATGAATACAACACTAACACTGTAGCGTACTGCTATCTGGCCGTGTTCGGTTACAAAAGTATGCAAAATACCCACATAATCACATAATCAACCATCACGAATAATGTATACTTGTGTTTCTAACTCATTAAAGATAATGGTATATTTTCGATTTCTTTTTGATAAAATTTCTGAAATTATTAAATATTGTGATGTGATAGAACAAAAGTAAGAGCATAATTGGATTCACGTGACCAATGTACGTACAAAACAAGTGTCGAAATCAAAAAAAGAAAATCCATGTTGATCTGTGTAACTAATCATATGTGTAAGGGAACCAACCAATTGGTTTGACAGTTTCGCAAAGCGCGCCAAGTGGTATCGGCAATTGAGTAGTTGCCCCTAAAAGGAATATATGCGAAAAAATTGGAGAAATTAATTGAGTGAAAAATGATCTCTGTGATTCAAGGCAGGGCTCCCTAAACTCAATTGAGCTCAAAACCGTTGGGAACGATGATGACGTAAATGTTGGTTAGATCACCCTTATTTTCTTGTGGTTTGATTTATTTTCCATTAATACACGATTAAATTTGTTTTAAAAAAATTCAACTATAAATACCTCCTAATATGTAACATAAAGTCTTTTCATTGGTGTAGATTTTTATATGCGTACACATTTTGCAGCTAGTTTGTAGTTTATTTGTACAGAAAGACGTTTTTTGGCTCTCCCGAAACAAAACCTAATTTTTGCTGGTTGATCCCACTTCGGGGCAACTACTCAATTATTCTACGATTTTCCCAACTCTGCCCCTGGCAGGTATCAGCTGTTGACAGTTTCATCCAATGGTGACGTCACTACGGTGACGTTGAAGCTCCCGATTGAACGAAACCGTCAACAGCTTGGATGATACCTGCCAGGGGCAGCATTGCATAAATCGCAGTATATTTGCGTTGAGTAAAAGCTGCGCTGACGCAACGAAGGACGCTGGCGCAGCAATGGGAGCGGGGACAGAGTGCCCGCTACGCCCTATCCTAGCCCGGCCCGGCGGTCTTCGTACACAAGTTAAAGCAAGTTGAGAGGCGGTCATTACGCATAA